CAGTGGCTCAACAGGCACTAGGAACATACAGGGAGGAACTAAATTATCTGACTTCAGGGTGAGGGCTAGAGGGAAATCTTTCTCCTACACAGAAGTGATGACAGAAGCCACAGCATATAGACTCAGGTAGGCACCATATCTAAGTCTCCACCAACATAACTAACACTTCTCCCTGCCCTCCTGATTCCGTGAGACCCCCCACACCTCCACTTGCAGACTCACCCAGACAAATTCCCATGGATTTTCCATAAAAATGGCCTGTCTTGGCTCATGCTGCAAACATTCATAAAATCTCTCAGGGGTTCACAAACACCAAACAAGCAGCATCTGGCCTCAGTGTGATATGTACCTCTTGGTATACACCCCAAACCCCACAAGGAAAAACTGGACTCAACTCTCAGCTTAGCCTCTCCCAGGCAACACCAAGCCCAACACACATGGCAGCCATCTTCAAATCATTTTGTAGCTCATGTCACCTGGCCCTGGGCAGGGTACAGGCAATGGCTGCCTATGGCCTGCAACAGAGCTGCACCCAAGTGACCCCAGAACAAACACACCCAGGGGGCTGGCTTCGGACAACCACGGAGCATCATTCAACCATTTCCACAGGCAACACACCCAAAGGGCAGACTGAACAAGCACCAGAGCCCTGCTAAAGTGAATTTGGCTCCATAGAGTCAGCCCTTACACAACATCTCCTCTACTATAGTTATAGCCAATCTTCACAACCAATAACACACATTGATGTACAAGCAGCAGCCAAGGCTCAACTGCAACAGGAGGGCACACACAAAGGACACACCTGGAGCACTCAGCTCAAGTGACCAGGGAGCCTGTACCACCTGGTCCTACAGGACACCTACTACATAAGGTCACTTTACTAAGACTGGGAGATGTAACAGCTGAACCTAATACATACAAACAAACACATGGAGGAAGCCAAAATGGGGAAACAAAAATAACTTCTTCCAAATGAATGAATAGAACAAAGCTGCAGAAGAAGAACTAAACAAAATGGAGAAATGCAATCCACCAGATACAGCATTCAAAACACTGGTTATAAACATGTTCAATGATCCCAGTGAGGATGTCAAGAAAGAAACAGTAAACATAAAACTGGAGATTAAAAAATACATGATAAAAATAACAGTCAGAAATGAAGAATTCAACAACTAAAATGAGGAATACATTAAAGGGAATCAACAGTAGATTACATGAAGCAGTGGGTTAAATCAGGAATTTGGAAGAGAATGTAGCAGAAAACACCCAATCAGAATAGCAAAAAGTATCCAAAAATTGAGGATAGTTTAAGGGGCCTCTGGGACAACATTAAGCATACCAATATCTGCATCATAGGGGTGCCGGAAGGACAAGAGAGGACAAGGGAGAGAGCCAGGAATTGAAAGCCTATTTGAAGAAATAATAATGGAAAACGTCCCTAACCTGGTGAAGGAAATCTAAATGTAAGCCCAGGAAGTGCAGAGTGCCAAACGGGTGAAACCAAGAAGGACTACTCTAAGACACATCAAAATTAAAATGGCAAAGTCTAAAGACAAAGACAGAATCCTAAAAGCAGCAAGAGAAAAGCAGTTTGTTTACTACAAGGGAGCTCCCATAAGCCTGTCAGTTGATTTCTCAACAGAAACCTTGTAGGCCAAAAGGGATTGACAAGAAATACTCAAACTGATGAAAAGCAAGGATCTGCAACTAAGATACTCTAACCAGCAGGTATCATTTAGAATCAAAGGACAAATAAAGAGCTTCCCGGGTAAGACAAATCTAAACAAGTTCATCAGTACAAGACCAGTATTACAAGAAATGTTAAAGGATGTCTTTAAAAAGAAGAAGGAAAAAAAGGATCAATAACATGAATAATAAAATGGCAATAACTGCATATCTATCCACAATTACTTTCAATGTAAATTGATTAAATGCTCCAATCAAAACACATACGGTGACTAAATGAATAAGAAAACAAAACCCTTACACCTGGTGCCTCCAAGAGACTCATTTCAGATCAAAAGACAGACACAGACTAAAAGTAAATGAATGAAAAAAGATAGTTCATGAAAATGGAAAGAAACAAACAAAAACAGCTGGAGTAGCGATACTTATTCCAGACAAAATAGGCTTTAAAACAGAGGTTAGACAACCAGTGACAAAGAAGGACTCAGTAATCCTGCTTCTGGTTACCTATCTGAAGATGCCCAAAATACTACTTCAAATGAATATGTGCATCCATATGTTAATTGTAGCAATATGTACACAGCCAAGATATGGAGGCAACCTGGGTGTTCACCAATGGATGAATTTATAGAGGTGGTACATATATACAATGGAATATTGCTCAACCATATAAAGGAATGAAATCTTGCCATCTGCAACAACATGGATGGACATAGAGGGTATTGTGCTGAGTGGAGTAAGTCAAACAGAGAAAACAAATGACATATGATTTCACTACTATGTGGAATCTAAAGAAAAGATAAACAAACAAACAAACAGAATAGAAACACTTATAAATACAGAGAACATTTTAATGGTTCCCAGAGAGGAGGGAGATTGGAGAGTGAGTGAAAAAGGGGATGGGATTAAGAAGACCCAATTGGTTGTCAGAAAGTAGTCATGGGGATGTAAGGAATATGATCAGTAATACTATAATAACTATAATGTCAGAGAGGTACTAGATTTATCAGAGTGGTCACGTCATAAGTTATATAAATGTCTAATCACTATGTTGTACACCTGAAACTAATATAGTATTGTATGTCAACTGTAATTGCAAAATGAAAAAGATAGAGGAAAAGATTCATTATAAAATCTCACTGCTTGTAGGACTTGAGTGCTGACATTTAACTTCGGGTGGTGTTGTACTTTGCATCTAGATGTTCCCCATCATTGGCCAGTATGGAGATATGTTGGTGAGAAACCTGAGGAAGGAAGCAGAGAAAGGCAAGCCGATCACCTTAAAAGAGTAAGTATGAACGGAGCTGCTGGGATTCTGAGCTCTGCCCCAAGACCCTCCAGCTTCTTGCCACAGAGCCAAAAATTCCCACTGTGGACTTACTCTCATGACCAAACAGAAATATGTGTGTAGTGTTACAAATCCAACAGGCCACCCAAGAAGCAACGGCTTACCCAAAAAGGCAGAAAAGCCAGGAGAAAAACTGTCTTCTCCTGTATACATGAGCCAGGATTAATACATCTGCTTAAGTCTCATCTTGAATATTCAAAAAAACAAAAGTACATAGCTTAAAAAAAAGAAACAGGACTGTACCCAACTTTGGAGTGTAGAGGGTATGGAATAGTGGCAGGGGAAGACACATAGAACACACTGGCAGCAGTGAGAGGGTAAGAAACTTACAATGTGGAATTTGCAGCAACTTAAAAACCGCTCCATGATTTTCTGAGTATACCAGCAAAATACTACATATTAAGTATTATCACAAATCTTGCTTCAATCTCAAAAGAGAGAAGGTCCTGTATAGACTATGATAGGTGGGGTGACCATATCATTTCTTGTCTAAACTAAGATACTTTTAACTTACACAGGAAAAATAGGTCTAAACTGGGACTGATCCGGGATAAGTGATAAGTGATCATATGTCCACTTACCTATGGGATTCCCCCAAATCAATTTTGGAGTGATTTATGACATATATATGTATGTATTGGGTTGTTGAAAAATTCATGATGCATTTTTTCAATGAAAAACATAGAAAAAATATGTCATGACTTTTCCGACAACCCAATATATATATTAAACTAGGGACATTCTTAATTCTTACATTTTAACAGAAATTAGTCTGCCTTCAGAGGAACCTCAGATCACTGGAGTTGAGAGTGAGTCTTTTAGGCGCCTTAGCAGGGGTGCAGAGAAGAAAAGATGGCATTCTTGGCAACTCAGACCAGGGTGATTTAGCTCTGTAATGTGCTGAAGAGGGATCATCTCAGCAAGACACTGTGGTGATGTGAGATCCTATCAACATCGCCTTTTTTAACTCCACTAGGAAGAATTAATTTTTCTACCCTTTGTACCACTTAAATACGGTACAGCAACTATTGCCCATACTCAAAGCGCACTACTGTAATTTGTCATCCCTTTGTGACTGATCTTTTTGAGGTCACAGGTGGGTCTAACTTGTTTTAGTGTCCCCATCACCCCCAGCACAGGGTCAGCTACATGAGTAGCACCCGATAAACACCTCATGTATGAGTGTGACAAGACCTTAGACTCTTCAGATGATCCAGCAGATGGTTGTGACAGCATGTGGCTCTTTACCTGTCTTTACCTGAGCATAGGAATTTACATGCTTTTCTTGCTGCAGCTGTAGAAGGATAGCAAAGAGGTGCTGATTCTAATTTTCCATTCTGTGTTTCCCTACTCAGCATCTTTGGGGCCTACAGCATGGATGTGATTACCAGCACATCATTTGGAGTGAACATTGATTCCCTCAACAACCCAAAAGATCCCTTTGTGGAAAATATCAAGAATTTGTTAAAATTTAAATTAGTGGATCCACTCATTCTCTCAATAAGTATGTGGACTACTATATTTATTTTTCTTCCTCCCTCCCTCCTCTCTACTTCACCTCACTCTATCCCTCTTTCTATAAAAGCTTTATTGAGATATAAGTCATATACTACATAATTTCATATGTACAGTTCAATAGCTTTTACAACCTAGTGTTCATCAACAAATAATTGGATAAAGAAAATGTGTTATATATTCATACAAACAAACACAATGGAATACTATTCAGCAAAAAAAAAATCCTCTCTTCTGAGACAACATGGATGAATCTTGAGGACATTTGCTAAGTGAAATAAATCAGACAGAGAAAGATAAATGCTGTATGATCTCACTTAAATGTGGAATCTGAAAGAATATAGAAACTCATAGAAAAACAAGAAATGATTTTTGGTCATCAGACACGGGTTGAAGGCGGGGAAATCAGATGAGCTGATCAAAAGGTATGAACTTTCAGTTAGGGTCACCTCAATAAACTTTAATTTAAAAAAAAA